CAACCAACGCTCTCTCAGCTTCAAGGGTTTTACGGGAATAAGCTAATCAACAAAACCTGCAACACAAATTCAAACAATAGTATACTATCTCGAGGTTATTTTGAATAAAATGCTCTGATACCAAAATTGACCCAGGTTAATAGTCGACAGAAGAAGGTAATAATTTGCACAAAAGAGACTCAGAAATATTTGAAGAAAATAACTTTGATTGATAATTGAAAGATACAATATATTTTGAACTTGCAGTGAGAAGTTTATCTCCCGTCTAAACTCTCTTACATTGAAAGTTAACAATAAATTGAAAAATTACATTGATTTTGAAGGACAAAATTATCTCTCGTCTCTTTTGTCCATTTCTTGAATTATTAAGCTCAACTTTTGAAGATTCTTTAAATCAATCATCTTCTTTTGTTTGCAACTTTTGAGAAAGTAACAATCGTTTGATTGAATGGAATCTTTTGAACAGAATTCTTGAATCAATTCATCTTCTTTGCAAAGTAGTAAGAAGTACTTTTCATCTCCATCTTCTTCTTCTATATCGTTTCCAGCACAAAACATTATTGAATCAGTAATACGAATATGGCAATCTCTTTATCAATATCATAGTATTTCAGGCCAATTGAAACAGTGCAAAGCCTACAAATGGGACCACCTAAAACGCCTTCTCCGGCACACATGGGCTGACCAACGTCTATTCAGCAGACATCCATGCCATACATCAATCTTTCTTTACTACTATGAATCAATAGTTTTGATTCATTTTCTTCTTACTATTCAATATTGTAAGATGCTCAATACTATATAGCATCAGAAAGATAATTATGAAAAGATACCTCAAATTTCTAATTCACGCAAAAGTTCTTGAATTGAAACATGTAGACTTCGTCGTCTGTATGGCGCCTCACTTTCGTTACTCAATCCATACTTTAGCCAATGAAGTCTATCAGCGTTTCTGAATTTGAGCATATCAGATTTCCAGCGACACACACCGGAATTATCATGAAAATAGTTACCACATTTGTAACACATATTGAATTTTTTAGCTCTCCTTGCAAAAGAGCTTCTACCACAAAAGGGTTTTTCTTGAGCATCAACAATTTCTTTTGATCTAATAATTTTT